CTGCTATATCCTCCCTGAAAAAAAAGCATTCTTTTTAATTTTTGCATAAATGCATTTAAAGATAATATTCATTTATATTAATAATATTATTGTATATGAATGAATATTATCTTTAAATATAAATAAATATATATAAATATATTTTATCCAGTAACGAATTTATTAAAAACATTTTTTGAAATATTTTAAATACATAACCTTACATATATATATATATATATATGTAAGGTTATGTATTTAAAAATAAGATATTCAATCATTCAAAATATTTTCTCTGTTTTATGCAGTTGACAATCAATAAACCAAATTGGAAGAAATATAGTAGAAAGAATTTTTAAGTTATTTGAAATTACCATTATTTTCATGAGATTGTAAATATTATGAATCAAACAATAAAATACAATTAGACTTAAATACATTAAATTTTTGTTGTCTCTTAAGTACATATGTGTACATTCCCATATGAGATTTCTTTATTTATGATCCCGATAAAAAACAGAACAAATGTATTTTCAACAAAAGAATAGGATGGAAGAAACAAAATGGCTTTTATTAAAAGAATGCAATGTTATATTATTATATGAACAGAAAATCTTATAAGAAAGTACTATCTGGAAAGAAGAAAATGATTCTATAATACTCCAGATTTAAAAAAAAAAATGACAAAATTGTTATATCTGAAGCCAAAAAGCAGAATTTTACAAACTTTCCATTGTTTACAAGAATCAAGAGTTCAAGGCCTTAGAGCTCTTAAAACAAGAACAGACAAGATAGTTTTGGAATTGAAAATGGTGGCATTTTTTTTGATTATTCAGAAATCTATCAAGGATACAAAATTTTACTCAAACTCTAATTTTAAATGCAAATTTAAGTAAATTTGTGATTGTCAATAAATAAATAAATAATTTACTCTGTCTATAATAGAAATTTTAATATCGTAACGAGGAATAATTACCAATTTCCAAATCCGTAATGTTCGACGGCATCCAAAAGCATCATTTCTTCTTTTGCTTTCCAAGCATTGGGAGACTGAAAGACCGGAACATTACCACAATCCTAAAATATATACATTTTTTAAGTCTATTGGAAATTGTTAAATTTAAGGTAACAATCAAAATTAATAAACTTGTTAAAATATTCAGAATACTTAAGTTGATTATTTTCCATATACATTAATATTTAACAAAGACAGACATTTCTAAATTAAAAATTATTATAATTATAAGAACAAGTTAAATTTCTCTTTGTTTCTACCGCAGTCTCTATATTGCTTTCTATTTGCCAACTTCTTTACTGTACAAGAATTTGAAACATCTAAGACGATTTCTCAATATAGATATTAATATATAATACTAAATAATTTAATCAAAAAAAATATACTGGGTAAACTGAATGGAAAATGATATAAAATAAAAAAATTTTACGTATAAAAATGTTTTTTTTATATATATTGTTCTTAAAAACATTTATATCTCAAATTAATGATGTGCTTTAAAATAATAATCATGAAATTCATATAATTTAATTAATCTGCCACACAATTTTAATGAAATGATCAATCACATCCTAAGTACTAATCTGTTTACATAAAAAAAAAAAAATTCATAATATTCAAAAAATTTAAAATAAGTAAATTACAAACGTTCAGAAAATAATGCCAATTAATTGTTAATAAAAATAACTCGGCCATTTATTACATAAAATAAATTTATGTCTACTAAAAATGTTAAGACTCAAACTGATAGTGTTTATTCCTTAATGAAAGATCAAACCGAATCCTTTGATATGATGGCAAGTGAATTAACCAAGTTTGAGCACATTTTAATTACATTATTAAAAAATGTCTTTCATTCCTAAAAAGATCACAACACTTATAAAAATGCATTTGATCTTGATCTTGTTTTAAAAAGGATCTGATATTTTTAAAGGAGGTTTAAAATTTATGTAAATCGTCAACAATGGATAAGAATTAACTCAATATAAAAGAGCAAACTTAATAAATTTAAATAAATAAAATTAGAAAAAAATTATAAGAAACAGAAAAAGGATTTGAAAAAAAAAAGTGATTTATAAATATTTTTGTTTTGGTATATAGTTTGGTGTAAACTTTTTCATTAATAATGATCTTGTGTTATTCATTGTATTTGCTACCTTGAGTTAAATCTAGACTAAGATGCTACAGGCATGACATCCATTATTATTGTTGGAATAACACCTGCTGCATCTTTTGAAAATAACTAAAACAGATATTTTAAAGATAAAATGAAACTTTATACCTATAAAGTAAAAGCAAAACTTTACATCATTTGCAGACAGAGCAAAAGAGAATATCTAAATAGATCTTAAAAGAACAGTACTGATTTTGTTCCTAGGATCTTTTCAAAGTTTAAATTTCCATCAGATATTTCCAAACTGACTTGAAATTTTTCAGAATGTTATTATTCTCTACCCTAGAATACTAAAATATTATGGGCATACCTGTAGATGAGTTTAGAAAGAAATCTAGCAATTTTAAATTTGCAATTGACATTTCAATTATATTGTTTATGCATAGCCTGTACTAATACACTCCACAAAAATGAAATCGCAACACCATGAACAAATTGCAGGACCTGTAGAGATGACATAGATATGCAAACTTATCATTTGCATATCTCTGTCACTTCTACCAATTGGGTCATGTGATACCCACTTTTGGGCTATAAAAACCAACAGTCGGCTCAGGCCATAAATTCTATTAGCAACAGTTGGTGGCAGCTAAACCTTGAAGAAATGTAGAAAGTGCCTGGGAGATGATAGTGAACCGTATACCACCAGTTAACGGCCAAGAAATAAGATTCATCCTGGAGCCGTGCAACCTCAGTTTGTCAAAGCATGCAGTTGCCACATGTGTTGGGTACAACACGAGTATCATCTGATGATGTGTGGCATGATGGGCACAGGAACATCTGTGAACGTGCCAAAGAAAAAGTGGATCACACTGACGCACGACAGATCATGTAGACCAGTAGATTCACCAAATGGCCCATCGAGAACTGTTCACCGGGACATGTGACATCCAAAGTCACCCTTAGCCGTTGACAAGCACATCTGTATCCACCCAAACCATTCACAACAGGTTGCACAAAGTCAGGCTGCACACATCGCAATTGGCAACCAGATGCCATTAACTGCCCATCATGGTGTCATCATCATCGCAACTGGACAACTGAATGGCATCAAGTATTGTTTATGAATCCCACTTCTGTCTATGGAGGAATAATGGCCATGGATGGGTGTAGCGGTATCCCAGGAAACATAACATGCCAGGCCTTTTTTTCAAGTGTTACACCAGCCCACATATTGAGCATGATGTTTGATCGATGGACAGCCCCAGTGTACAATTCCAGTACTCTGACAGCAGACCAGTATGGCATACAAATTGTGGATCCATGGTTCCACCACCAGTGCAGGCCGCATGTGACACAATGTTCCGGCAAGATAATGCTTGACCACACATCACATGGTAAAATCTCACCAGTCTGAATGGAATTCACATCCATTTCTGGCCAGCAGTCTTGTCATATCTCTCTTCCGTCAAACACCCATGGGACCTTGTCTGACATAAAGAGCACCAGGGACCCTATCACATACCATAGATGACATGCAAACCACAGTGGCATCCACTGTGGTTTGCATGTCATCTATGCAAACCTTAGCAAGGGATACCTTGGGCAACTATTAATCACCTCATTGATACTATGCCTCACTGTATGGCAGTCTGTATATTCATTACCGAATAAACAGGTGTCTAACATACATCTTTGTTTATTCTTTTAATCATTTGCATAATTCTTTCATCTCTGGCAATGTTCGTGTGACTAAGCGCATTCATTCATGGTGTTATGATTTCACTTTTGAGGAGAGTATATTGAACTGTTTAATTTTAATATTCAAATCTAAAACTTTGTTCATTCTGTTGATACTAATTTTGCCTATCTCCATATGCTCTTCTAGCAAAAAATGGAAAATCGTATTTNTTTGTTTTTTTTTCAGTTTTAAGTATTTTTTATGTCTAATTACATTAAAATTAAAAATTGGTTGTTACCAAGGGAGTTAAATAACTAATTACAGTATTGTCAATTTACCCGTCAGCATGGCTTCTACGACTCAACAAAAAACAGTTTCTAAGAAAAGGAAATATATCGATGAAAGAAGGTTATTTAATGAGAAATGGACAGAGGACTATTTTTTTCTTGAGGTGAAAGGTGAGGCACTCTGCCTAATTTGCCACGTTTCAATACCTGTCTTCAAAGAGTATAATTTGAGAAGGCATTATGCACAAAAACATGCTTCCAAATTTGATGCATATCAGGAAATGTGTCGCAAAGACCCAAGTAATGGTACTGAAAAAAGGTCTTATATGTCAACAACAAAAGGTTTTTAGCAATGTTACAACTCAGACAGTCTCCTTTGTGAAGGCTAGTTTTGTAGTCGCAAATTTAATTGCCAAAAAATCAAAACCGTTTTATGATGGCAAGTTTAATAAGGAATGCATGGAAAATGTTGTATATATAATTTGTCCAGACAAGAAAAGTGATATTTCTAAAATCAGTTTGTCTCATCAAACTGTTGCCAAGTGAATTGACGATCTTGGGAAATATATTGAAAGCGATTTGAAAAGTAAAGCCTGAGGGTTTACATTTTATTCTTTGGCCATGGATGAAAGTACTGATGCTACTGATACGGCTCAATTTGCCATTTTTATTAGAAGTATTAATGACGAATATAGTGTAACTGAAGAAATGCTCTCATTAGTGTCATTAAAAGACACGAAAAAATCAAGAAATTTATATGAAGCAGTGAAAAAAATCTTAATGCAATTTTCTTTATCCTTTTCCAATATATCTGGTATAATTACAGATGGGGCCCCAGCTATGATAGGTAAAAAAGAAGGGCTTGTAAAATTAATAGAAAACGATGCCAATGCTGTCGAAAATTCTCGTTTGATGAAGTACCATTGCATACTACACTAAGAAAATTTATGCAGAAAAGCTTTAAAAATAGATAATGTTATGCAAATTGTCATCAAAACTGTGAATTTTATAAGAGCCCAGGGATTATATCATCGTCAATTCCAAGAATTTCTCAAAAATGTTGATGCCGAGTATGGCAATATCGTATACTTTGCAAAAGTAAGGTGGTTCAGTCAAAGACAAATGTTAAAAAGATTTTATGACTTACTTAATGGAATCAAATCTTTTATGACATCGAAAGCAAAATCTGTGCCAGAACAGATTTAGCATTTTTGGTAGATTTGACTGGTCATTTAAATGACTTAAACATGCATCTTTAAGGGAAAAACCAACTTATCAGTGCAATGTTTCAAATCATAAACGCATTCTAGGTAAAACTGAAATTATGGCAGGCCCAATTAAATGAGAACAACTTTTTGCAGTTCAACACATTGTCCAAACATATTCCTAAAAAGGGAAAAAAATATGCAGCCTTACTTTTCGATTTGATACAAGAATTCAAAAATAGATTTTTGGATTTTTGGAAAAATAATCTCAATTTTTGTGTTTTTGCGACTCCATTTACAGTTGATATAGTAATGCTGTCAGCAACTTTTCAAATAGGAATGCATAGAATTGCAATCTGACATCCAACTTAAAGAGAAATTTTATCACGTCTCTTTGTTTGACTTTTATAAATCATACCTACCCAGAGACATATATCCTGCACTGCACAGTCATGCGTTATTCATGTCATCATTGTTTGGAAGCACCTACACATGTGAACAACTATATTCAAGAATGAAGCATACTAAGTGTAAAATTAGAACTAAAATATCAGATGAACACCTTAGGGCTGCCTGAGAATTGCAACTACTACAATTGAACCAGATATTGATGCATTAGTTTCTCAACAACAATGCCAAACATCACATTAGTTTTATGATTTGGACTTACACATAAAATGTATAGAATAATGCCAAATGAATTCCACATTCTGTATTTATAATGAAGAAAGTTCTAATACATTTTAAATATGAAAACTATATATTTTACATTTTTTTTTTTGCTCTTAAGCTAGTTGTGACCCAAAACTCCATAATTTCTTCCAATGTGGCCCAGAGAAACTAAAAGGTTGGACACACCTATTCTAAATGATGCAATGTTAAGATAAATAAATCAATTATAAATGAAAATGTTGAAAAATATATTTTTCTATGTAGATCTTATCTTGAATTATAGTAAACTTATATAGAATTCTTTTCTTTTTTAAGGTTCACTAAATTAATTATTATTTTGTATTTTTACTTCCCCAGCTCTGTTATATATAACAGAGGCAAAGTATGGCAATAGTCAAAAAATGATACCCGAGATTTTTGTACTTTTGGACTTGGGGAACCTTGAAACATTGAGAAATGCAAAAAACTTTGGTGTTTTCTTTATGTATAAATGTTAGTATGTGTGGGAGGCATAATTTTGTTCACCCTCTTTGAAGCTTAATTATTAACTACTGTTCTTTTTGTCAAACATTTCTGAAATTTTGTAGGGAGGTTAGTGTATTAGGGGGATTGATGCTATTAACTTCTGGTGGTTAAAGGTTGGGGGTGGGGAGATAAAGGAGGTCGTAAGTTATATCTCGAGAAGGGTCAGACTTAATGACCATTTTCCTCGTTAGCATTTACAATTCCTTTTTTTAATAAAACCCATCTCTACCCTCAACATTAAGCTTTTTGCCATTTTATAAAAGTTAAAAATATAAAAAGTTTTTTTTAATGAAATATGATAATAGATGGCGCCACGAAAAATTTAAATGTTGCTGGGAAAGATAAGCAACTCGTTGCTGGTTTATTTCTTTGNTATATATTGTATATATATTTTATATATTTACTATATATTGTGTGTAAAAATACCTACTTAGGAAGGAGAATAAAATCACAAAAAACATTATGACAAAGCATTTTACTAATTTAAAAATTTGTACTAACAATTAGAGCTAATTGTAATCTAGCTTTTGTTTGAAAAATAAAAAAACTCAGCTTAGTTTGAATATGTCTAAAAATATTTGAAGTGTATTCTTTATTTGTACTGGATAGAAGAGTGGAGAGTGGAGTTGGCCAAAGATAAAAAAGCTTACATCATTTGTTTAAGTGTAACTTTTAGAACAGAAAAATAAAATAGAAATAAACATGAATTTGTCTTATTTTTTAAACCTTAAAAACCTAAATCAGTAGTTAAGTATTATTACACATGTTCCATTTTAAACACCATTTTTAATTACACCAGAATTTATTTACAAAATAAAAAAAAATTACCTTTTTACACTGTCTATTTACCAATAGCAAGTAACTAAATAAACAATGCAGTTGATAAACTTTTAATTATTTGCCATTCAACATATTCAGAAAGTTAAAATATAGAACTAACATTCTGAATTCTAAAATTAATATTTATATAAAATTCTGAAGCCTTCAGAGTTCAAAATTCTTAATCAAATAAATAAATAAATATGTCAAATAATAATATAATGAATTTTCAAAATTTTAAAATAAAGAGAAAAATAACAAAAACAATTGTAGATAGAAAAATATATAAATTTCTTAAAAGCAACATTTTAATAAAAAGAATTAAAAAATATTAAAGATTTTATAATTTGTTGTTAATATATGACAAAGTTTAGACTTTTTCCAAACATTTTTAGTATAATTAACATCAAAATGATAGATATTATTAGTATAATGTTTAAATCGTTATCCAAATTATTTTGAGGCTTGAAAAAAATTGAGCTAAACGGAAATTCAAAATTGTAAGGTCTTTTTGACTGTATATTTAGTGATCTTCAGAAAAGTAAATTAAAATGTACAGTACATCAATGTTATTGTTCAAATATCTGATAATATTTAAACTCAGAATACATGAAGTCAAGTTCACAAATAGAACTAAACTCTCAACTGGACTAAATTCTATCTGTAAATCCAAATCATACATATAGACAGTAATAATTTACAACAAAAGTTAAAAATTTAATTTTTAGCTTACGTATTATCAATATAAGATAATTCAACTGCCAAATTATATTTGTTCGTGCAAATTTTTAGCATGACATTCATGTGTTAAGCAAAAATGTAGTCATATATAGAGTCTGTAAATATTGAATAAACAGTCAGAAAGCCTTAATTTCTTATCCTGTACAATTTGTTATTATATTAAATTACGTACGGAAGATTCATTTAAACATAAAACAGATAGATTGTCTTTTTTTCATGAGATAAAATATGAAATAGTATGATTTAAACTTATACAATCCTTCTTGAAAGGCAAAAAGTAAAATTGGTCAACGATAAAAACAATGAAACAACTTTTCTACAAGAATGCTAAAAAAAATATAAAAAACAAATGACATGTACTAACTAGTTCATTTTCTCCCTTTCTTTTCTTTTTATTGGAGAGCTTGTCATTCATCGTGAAATCAAGTTTAATAAGGTTTCCTTGCCCTCCTTGATCTTTGTTAATATCTTCCTAATCCTTAAGAAAAACTTGAATCATGAATATATACTACCTTGAATTTTGCATTAATCCTGTAATTATTTTATATTTAAAACTGTTAATAATTTATGTGGTAGAAGCAAAGTGAATAAGCATATTTCATGTTGATTCTAAACACATTCAACATTCTGTTTTGCATTTTCAGTAATTTTATGGCTTTGAAAAAATATCAAAAAACTTACCGATTTAATTAGAAAATAACATTTTCAGTTAATTCTATTACTGTTTACGATTCTCGGTTTAATACACAGGAACAAAAGTTTAAAATTAAAAACGACACAAAATCCACCGTATAAAAATTTAGACATAGAATTATTGAAAATGTTATTGTTCTAAATAACTAGTAATTTATGATTCTTTTCCAAAAGATGTAACTTTATTGAAATTGTAAGCTTACAAATCAATAAACTAATAAATTTCATATATTAAATTAAAATTCATGCNATTCATAATATTCAAAAAATTTAAAATAAGTAAATTACAAACGTTCAGAAAATAATGCCAATTAATTGTTAATAAAAATAACTCGGCCATTTATTACATAAAATAAATTTATGTCTACTAAAAATGTTAAGACTCAAACTGATAGTGTTTATTCCTTAATGAAAGATCAAACCGAATCCTTTGATATGATGGCAAGTGAATTAACCAAGTTTGAGCACATTTTAATTACATTATTAAAAAATGTCTTTCATTCCTAAAAAGATCACAACACTTATAAAAATGCATTTGATCTTGATCTTGTTTTAAAAAGGATCTGATATTTTTAAAGGAGGTTTAAAATTTATTATTAATATTCTTGAATATTCTAAATTAACATATAATCACTTTTAAATTTCAATTTTGTGATATTCTGCAAATTATCTGTAAAAGGTAAACATTTTTTTAACAACTAATTCAAAACTATTATCTATTTCCTATTATTTACTTTGAAGCAAGTTATTTTAGTTTTTAATATCCTTTTTCAACAATTTATTTGTTTGTTGTTGATTATTCTAATTGTTTGACCATGAAATAGTAAATGAACAGTTATCCTTTAATGCTGAAAAGTTAAAAAAACTTTTTAGCTTCATTTCTTTACTATTTTCATTGTAATTTACTGAATTATCAATTTGGGTAATTCCTCTTGTAATATCTACTAAACTGGTTTCTTATAATTGTATCCCACAATAAAATATTTTTAAAATTGATTTTACTGTGTTGTGCCTGTATCATTATCAACTTGTGAAAATATTTTAAAAACTCAAAAAAAAAAAATAATAATAATAATTACCATCAGCAGTTTTTCCATTTACACTTTCTGCTATATCCTCCCTGAAAAAAAAGCATTCTTTTTAATTTTTGCATAAATGCATTTAAAGATAATATTCATTTATATTAATAATANTAAGAATTAACTCAATATAAAAGAGCAAACTTAATAAATTTAAATAAATAAAATTAGAAAAAAATTATAAGAAACAGAAAAAGGATTTGAAAAAAAAAAGTGATTTATAAATATTTTTGTTTTGGTATATAGTTTGGTGTAAACTTTTTCATTAATAATGATCTTGTGTTATTCATTGTATTTGCTACCTTGAGTTAAATCTAGACTAAGATGCTACAGGCATGACATCCATTATTATTGTTGGAATAACACCTGCTGCATCTTTTGAAAATAACTAAAACAGATATTTTAAAGATAAAATGAAACTTTATACCTATAAAGTAAAAGCAAAACTTTACATCATTTGCAGACAGAGCAAAAGAGAATATCTAAATAGATCTTAAAAGAACAGTACTGATTTTGTTCCTAGGATCTTTTCAAAGTTTAAATTTCCATCAGATATTTCCAAACTGACTTGAAATTTTTCAGAATGTTATTATTCTCTACCCTAGAATACTAAAATATTATGGGCATACCTGTAGATGAGTTTAGAAAGAAATCTAGCAATTTTAAATTTGCAATTGACATTTCAATTATATTGTTTATGCATAGCCTGTACTAATACACTCCACAAAAATGAAATCGCAACACCATGAACAAATTGCAGGACTTGTAGAGATGACATAGATATGCAAACTTATCATTTGCATATCTCTGTCACTTCTACCAATTGGGTCATGTGATACCCACTTTTGGGCTATAAAAACCAACAGTCGGCTCAGGCCATAAATTCTATTAGCAACAGTTGGTGGCAGCTAAACCTTGAAGAAATGTAGAAAGTGCCTGGGAGATGATAGTGAACCGTATACCACCAGTTAACGGCCAAGAAATAAGATTCATCCTGGAGCCGTGCAACCTCAGTTTGTCAAAGCATGCAGTTGCCACATGTGTTGGGTACAACACGAGTATCATCTGATGATGTGTGGCATGATGGGCACAGGAACATCTGTGAACGTGCCAAAGAAAAAGTGGATCACACTGACGCACGACAGATCATGTAAACCAGTAGATTCACCAAATGGCCCATCGAGAACTGTTCACCGGGACATGTGACATCCAAAGTCACCCTTAGCCGTTGACAAGCACATCTGTATCCACCCAAACCATTCACAACAGGTTGCACAAAGTCAGGCTGCACACATCGCAATTGGCAACCAGATGCCATTAACTGCCCATCATGGTGTCATCATCATCGCAACTGGACAACTGAATGGCATCAAGTATTGTTTATGAATCCCACTTCTGTCTATGGAGGAATAATGGCCATGGATGGGTGTGGCGGTATCCCAGGAAACATAACATGCCAGGCCTTTTTTTCAAGTGTTACACCAGCCCACATATTGAGCATGATGTTTGATCGATGGACAGCCCCAGTGTACAATTCCAGTACTCTGACAGCAGACCAGTATGGCATACAAATTGTGGATCCATGGTTCCACCACCAGTGCAGGCCGCATGTGACACAATGTTCCGGCAAGATAATGCTTGACCACACATCACATGGTAAAATCTCACCAGTCTGAATGGAAATAAACCAAATTGGAAGAAATATAGTAGAAAGAATTTTTAAGTTATTTGAAATTACCATTATTTTCATGAGATTGTAAATATTATGAATCAAACAATAAAATACAATTAGACTTAAATACATTAAATTTTTGTTGTCTCTTAAGTACATATGTGTACATTCCCATATGAGATTTCTTTATTTATGATCCCGATAAAAAACAGAACAAATGTATTTTCAACAAAAGAATAGGATGGAAGAAACAAAATGGCTTTTATTAAAAGAATGCAATGTTATATTATTATATGAACAGAAAATCTTATAAGAAAGTACTATCTGGAAAGAAGAAAATGATTCTATAATACTCCAGATTTAAAAAAAAAAATGACAAAATTGTTATATCTGAAGCCAAAAAGCAGAATTTTACAAACTTTCCATTGTTTACAAGAATCAAGAGTTCAAGGCCTTAGAGCTCTTAAAACAAGAACAGACAAGATAGTTTTGGAATTGAAAATGGTGGCATTTTTTTTGATTATTCAGAAATCTATCAAGGATACAAAATTTTACTCAAACTCTAATTTTAAATGCAAATTTAAGTAAATTTGTGATTGTCAATAAATAAATAAATAATTTACTCTGTCTATAATAGAAATTTTAATATCGTAACGAGGAATAATTACCAATTTCCAAATCCGTAATGTTCGACGGCATCCAAAAGCATCATTTCTTCTTTTGCTTTCCAAGCATTGGGAGACTGAAAGACCGGAACATTACCACAATCCTAAAATATATACATTTTTTAAGTCTATTGGAAATTGTTAAATTTAAGGTAACAATCAAAATTAATAAACTTGTTAAAATATTCAGAATACTTAAGTTGATTATTTTCCATATACATTAATATTTAACAAAGACAGACATTTCTAAATTAAAAATTATTATAATTATAAGAACAAGTTAAATTTCTCTTTGTTTCTACCGCAGTCTCTATATTGCTTTCTATTTGCCAACTTCTTTACTGTACAAGAATTTGAAACATCTAAGACGATTTCTCAATATAGATATTAATATATAATACTAAATAATTTAATCAAAAAAAATATACTGGGTAAACTGAATGGAAAATGATATAAAATAAAAAAATTTTACGTATAAAAATGTTTTTTTTATATATATTGTTCTTAAAAACATTTATATCTCAAATTAATGATGTGCTTTAAAATAATAATCATGAAATTCATATAATTTAATTAATCTGCCACACAATTTTAATGAAATGATCAATCACATCCTAAGTACTAATCTGTTTACATAAAAAAAAAAAAATTCATAATATTCAAAAAATTTAAAATAAGTAAATTACAAACGTTCAGAAAATAATGCCAATTAATTGTTAATAAAAATAACTCGGCCATTTATTACATAAAATAAATTTATGTCTACTAAAAATGTTAAGACTCAAACTGATAGTGTTTATTCCTTAATGAAAGATCAAACCGAATCCTTTGATATGATGGCAAGTGAATTAACCAAGTTTGAGCACATTTTAATTACATTATTAAAAAATGTCTTTCATTCCTAAAAAGATCACAACACTTATAAAAATGCATTTGATCTTGATCTTGTTTTAAAAAGGATCTGATATTTTTAAAGGAGGTTTAAAATTTATGTAAATCGTCAACAATGGATAAGAATTAACTCAATATAAAAGAGCAAACTTAATAAATTTAAATAAATAAAATTAGAAAAAAATTATAAGAAACAGAAAAAGGATTTGAAAAAAAAAAGTGATTTATAAATATTTTTGTTTTGGTATATAGTTTGGTGTAAACTTTTTCATTAATAATGATCTTGTGTTATTCATTGTATTTGCTACCTTGAGTTAAATCTAGACTAAGATGCTACAGGCATGACATCCATTATTATTGTTGGAATAACACCTGCTGCATCTTTTGAAAATAACTAAAACAGATATTTTAAAGATAAAATGAAACTTTATACCTATAAAGTAAAAGCAAAACTTTACATCATTTGCAGACAGAGCAAAAGAGAATATCTAAATAGATCTTAAAAGAACAGTACTGATTTTGTTCCTAGGATCTTTTCAAAGTTTAAATTTCCATCAGATATTTCCAAACTGACTTGAAATTTTTCAGAATGTTATTATTCTCTACCCTAGAATACTAAAATATTATGGGCATACCTGTAGATGAGTTTAGAAAGAAATCTAGCAATTTTAAATTTGCAATTGACATTTCAATTATATTGTTTATGCATAGCCTGTACTAATACACTCCACAAAAATGAAATCGCAACACCATGAACAAATTGCAGGACCTGTAGAGATGACATAGATATGCAAACTTATCATTTGCATATCTCTGTCACTTCTACCAATTGGGTCATGTGATACCCACTTTTGGGCTATAAAAACCAACAGTCGGCTCAGGCCATAAATTCTATTAGCAACAGTTGGTGGCAGCTAAACCTTGAAGAAATGTAGAAAGTGCCTGGGAGATGATAGTGAACCGTATACCACCAGTTAACGGCCAAGAAATAAGATTCATCCTGGAGCCGTGCAACCTCAGTTTGTCAAAGCATGCAGTTGCCACATGTGTTGGGTACAACACGAGTATCATCTGATGATGTGTGGCATGATGGGCACAGGAACATCTGTGAACGTGCCAAAGAAAAAGTGGATCACACTGACGCACGACAGATCATGTAAACCAGTAGATTCACCAAATGGCCCATCGAGAACTGTTCACCGGGACATGTGACATCCAAAGTCACCCTTAGCCGTTGACAAGCACATCTGTATCCACCCAAACCATTCACAACAGGTTGCACAAAGTCAGGCTGCACACATCGCAATTGGCAACCAGATGCCATTAACTGCCCATCATGGTGTCATCATCATCGCAACTGGACAACTGAATGGCATCAAGTATTGTTTATGAATCCCACTTCTGTCTATGGAGGAATAATGGCCATGGATGGGTGTGGCGGTATCCCAGGAAACATAACATGCCAGGCCTTTTTTTCAAGTGTTACACCAGCCCACATATTGAGCATGATGTTTGATCGATGGACAGCCCCAGTGTACAATTCCAGTACTCTGACAGCAGACCAGTATGGCATACAAATTGTGGATCCATGGTTCCACCACCAGTGCAGGCCGCATGTGACACAATGTTCCGGCAAGATAATGCTTGACCACACATCACATGGTAAAATCTCATCAGTCTGAATGGAATTCACATCCATTTCTGGCCAGCAGTCTTGTCATATCTCTCTTCCGTCAAACATCCATGGGACCTTGTCTGACATAAAGAGCACCAGGGACCCTATCACATACCATAGATGACATGCAAACCACAGTGGATGCAGCTTAGCAAGGGATACCTTGGGCAACTATTAATCACCTCATTGATACTATGCCTCACTGTATGGCAGTCTGTATATTCATTACCGAATAAACAGGTGTCTAACATACATGTTTGTTTATTCTTTTAATTATTTGCATAATTCTTTCATCTCTGGCAATGTTCGTGTGACTAAGCGCATTCATTCATGGTGTTATGATTTCACTTTTGAGGAGAGTATATTGAACTGTTTAATTTTAATATTCAAATCTAAAACTTTGTTCATTCTGCTGATACTAATTTTGCCTATCTCCATATGCTCTTCTAGCAAAAAATGGAAAATCGTATTTTCAATTACATAACAGAAATTTATCCAACTTATTATAAATTATTTTTTGTTTTAAATGACTCAAAAAAGTATATTATTATGTAAATTAAACTTTCATAATTTTAAAGTAAAACAATTTGAGATTTTCTATCCTTAACACACTTCTCAGTTTCCAACTGAACTCAACAGAATTTAGAAGCTGTTTTAGCTACTTACCTATATATTGTATATATATTTTATATATTATATATTTACTATATATTGTGTGTAAAAATACCTACTTAGGAAGGAGAATAAAATCACAAAAAACATTATGACAAAGCATTTTACTAATTTAAAAATTTGTACTAACAATTAGAGCTAATTGTAATCTAGCTTTTGTTTGAAAAATAAAAAAACTCAGCTTAGTTTGAATATGTCTAAAAATATTTGAAGTGTATTCTTTATTTGTACTGGATAGAAGAGTGGAGAGTGGAGTTGGCCAAAGATAAAAAAGCTTACATCATTTGTTTAAGTGTAACTTTTAGAACAGAAAAATAAAATAGAAATAAACATGAATTTGTCTTATTTTTTAAACCTTAAAAACCTAAATCAGTAGTTAAGTATTATTACACATGTTCCATTTTAAACACCATTTTTAATTACACCAGAATTTATTTACAAAATAAAAAAAAATTACCTTTTTACACTGTCTATTTACCAATAGCAAGTAACTAAATAAACAATGCAGTTGATAAACTTTTAATTATTTGCCATTCAACATATTCAGAAAGTTAAAATATAGAACTAACATTCTGAATTCTAAAATTAATATTTATATAAAATTCTGAAGCCTTCAGAGTTCAAAATTCTTAATCAAATAAATAAATAAATAAATATGTCAAATAATAATATAATGAATTTTCAAAATTTTAAAATAAAGAGAAAAATAACAAAAACAATTGTAGATAGAAAAATATATAAATTTCTTAAAAGCAACATTTTAATAAAAAGAATTAAAAAATATTAAAGATTTTATAATTTGTTGTTAATATATGACAAAGTTTAGACTTTTTGCAAACATTTTTAGTATAATTAACATCAAAATGATAGATATTATTAGTATAATGTTTAAATCGTTATCCAAATTATTTTGAGGCTTGAAAAAAATTGAGCTAAACGGAAATTCAAAATTGTAAGGTCTTTTTGACTGTATATTTAGTGATCTTCAGAAAAGTAAATTAAAATGTACAGTACATCAATGTTATTGTTCAAATATCTGATAATATTTAAACTCAGAATACATGAAGTCAAGTTCACAAATAGAACTAAACTCTCAACTGGACTAAATTCTATCTGTAAATCCAAATCATACATATAGACAGTAATAATTTACAACAAAAGTTAAAAATTTAATTTTTAGCTTACGTATTATCAATATAAGATAATTCAACTGCCAAATTATATTTGTTCGTGCAAATTTTTAGCATGACATTCATGTGTTAAGCAAAAATGTAATCATATATAGAGTCTGTAAATATTGAATAAACAGTCAGAAAGCCTTAATTTCTTATCCTGTACAATTTGTTATTATATTAAATTACATACAGAAGATTCATTTAAACATAAAACAGATAGATTGTCTTTTTTTCATGAGATAAAATATGAAATAGTATGATTTAAACTTATACAATCCTTCTTGAAAGGCAAAAAGTAAAATTGGTCAACGATAAAAACAATGAAACAACTTTTCTACAAGAATGCTAAAAAAAATATAAAAAACAAATGACATGTACTAACTAGTTCATTTTCTCCCTTTCTTTTCTTTTTATTGGAGAGCTTGTCATTCATCGTGAAATCAAGTTTAATAAGGTTTCCTTGCCCTCCTTGATCTTTGTTAATATCTTCCTAATCCTTAAGAAAAACTTGAATCATGAATATATACTACCTTGAATTTTGCATTAATCCTGTAATTATTTTATATTTAAAACTGTTAATAATTTATGTGGTAGAAGCAAAGTGAATAAGCATATTTCATGTTGATTCTAAACACATTCAACATTCTGTTTTGCATTTTCAGTAATTTTATGGCTTTGAAAAAATATCAAAAAACTTACCGATTTAATTAGAAAATAACATTTTCAGTTAATTCTATTACTGTTTACGATTCTCGGTTTAATACACAGGAACAAAAGTTTAAAATTAAAAACGACACAAAATCCACCGTATAAAAATTTAGACATAGAATTATTGAAAATGTTATTGTTCTAAATAACTAGTAATTTATGATTCTTTTCCAAAAGATGTAACTTTATTGAAATTGTAAGCTTACAAATCAATAAACTAATAAATTTCATATATTAAATTAAAATTCATGCTTTTATTTATGGAAATTATAAAAATTCAATATAAATTTAAAATATTAAATACCATTTTCCACTGATTTGCACAAAGGAAATAATATTTATTAGATATGAATTAAAAGAAAACAAATTTTCTTGTTTTCGAATAATCAATTAGATTACATGAAATGAATTTAATTATAATTTAATTTAAATAAATATTTATTCCAATGCTTATCAAATTTAAAATATCTTTCAAATAAAGTTATGCATTTTTATATTTATATATTTTACCTTATGGATTTGTCTTGTGACAAATTCTAGAGAATAAAATTATTTGCAATAAAAATCATCACTTCAGTTGTAAATAATTATAATTTTAAATGATTACTACACAAATAAACTCTGTTTCATAAATTAACTTTCCATTTTTGACAATTTTGAAAAATAAATTCTTTAATTCAAGTTTATTTTTATATGCTTTAAGTATTTATAGCTAATAATTTATTTATGCATAAATAATTTGCTTATAATTTTTTCTTATTGATATATAATGACAACTTTGAATAATATTTTTTCTTAAAAACAATGCATAACTTTATATTTTACATAATTTTTAATATTAACAACAAAATCTACTTTATATATATATATATATATATATATATATATAGGTAATTTTATAATATAAACAATATATACAAATAAATGCAATATAAAAATAGAAATTTTAATGAAATTTAATTTATGTCCACCAGCTATAATATTTACAAGATTCCAGAATTAGATTCACTTGTTAAATATTTCTAAATCATAACTTACTTAGTTAAACTCTCATAATATGCAAATTGACTAGCTTAAGACACCAGAAATAAAATTAAGTTTAAGCATGAACACACAGTAAATAGTGATTTTTGAAATCTTACAATGAACTATAATGTATTTGGAGATTAAATCTGTAAGTGAAATGAAATTTCTATCAGTGTAAATAGAAATTTTGGAGCTGTTGTATTATTAATAACAATCAAGAAAAGTATATATTTTAATCAAGTTAACCATAGACCAGTTGAAAGATGAAAAAAAAACTTAGTTTCACACTTTTTTATTCAAAGATTCATATTCATTTTGTACAGATGCATTTCAACATATTGTCCTCATGTTCAGGATCTACCCTGGTTTATATTTAGGTAACTATAATTGTATCAGCTCACACTTCCAGGGGTATGTTGTAATTTTGTTCTATTTAATCTATGTACGCATGATGTATATGCATTGTTATTGTATTACTGTGTCCGTGTTTGTTCTGTTTGCACAGTGTATTGGGTACTCTATGTGTAGCGCTAGACATACCCCTTTTGGTTGAAAATGGTTCCCAGCCAGGCATCATGAGATCCCTCCCACTCTATCCTTCTCACCTGTCCTTTCCCCCTCTTTCTCCTGCCCTCCTCCCTCTCCTTTACCTTTATTCCCCCATCTATCCTTGGCTATACCAGTGGGTAAGGCCTTCTCTCTTTATCTAGTATTGTCCTCTTCAGCTAAAAAAGACAAAAATCTTAATGTTTAGGTATATAAGATTATAAAAACATAAATTATACAAAACAAGTNAATCTATGTACACATGATGTATATGCATTGTTATTGTATTACTGTGTCTGTGTTTGTTCTGTTTGCACAATGTATTGGGTACTCTATGTGTAGCGCTAGACATACCCCTTTTGGTTGAAAATGGTTCCCAGCCAGGCATCATGAGATCCCTCCCATTCTGTCCTTCTCACCTGTCCTTTCCCCCCTCTTTCTCCTGCCCTCCTCCTTCTCCTTTATCTTTATTCCCCCATATATCCTTGGCTATACCAGTGGGTAAGGCCTTCTCTCTTTATCTAGTATTGTCCTCTTCAGCTAAAAAAGACAAAAACCTTAATGTTTAGGTATATAAGATTATAAAAACATAAATTATACAAAACAAGTTTTTTGACATAGAGAGGACAATATGTTGTCCTCCTTAAATTTGTCAACTTGACAAATTTATGTTTTTAGAATATTGTATACCTAAACTTTAAGATTTTTGTCTTTTTTAGCCGAAGAGGCCATATGTTGAAATGCATCTGTACAAAATGAATATGAATCTATGAATAAAAAAGTGTGAAATTGAGTTCTTTTCATCTTTCAGTTGGTCTAATGTTAACTTGATTAAAATATATACTTTATTTAATTCTTATTAATAAAATATCTATTTAAGAAATTTAATGACATTCAACTAATTTATTAAAAAACTGATTTTGAATAGCTTTATTTGATTCTTTATATTTATTCTCTATACTTAATTTAATCAGCTTTTATTTCTTATTTTAACAAAATTAATTTTAAAGTGATATGTTCCAATGTACAGTCGACCCCCCTATAATTACGGTCCGTATAATTACGATTCCTATAAAACTACGAAAAAATATACGTATTTTGGAAATGTTGAGTCGGATTAGTGTAGAATCGATTAATTTTATGGAAGAAAACCTTTCAATCAGCCGTAGTCCGTAAACTTGACACGTGTCGGGCTGTGATTGGAACGACTTGTAAGAAATCGGATTCCTAATAAATTGGAACGTATCTATATCTTATAGGGGGGTCGACTGTACTCTTTCTGTCCCTGTGAGCTCTAAGAAGACCTTTTCTCACAAGCCTGTTATGGGTTTGGCCAGCCCATGGTGTGGAATGGGGACTGATGTATTTGGATGGACCATGTCCAAAAAATTCTTGGGAATTTTCAACTCATCCAGATACAATCCTGGGTGTCCCAGAGCAATAGATGACAAACAATCTGCCAGATTAAGTTGGACTATAATAAGGCTACTATTTAATACTTAAATATTAAGTAATTTTGCTCCATCTGATCTTCTGATTCTAGAACTAGAATGGATTCTCAATCTATCGTTCGTTTTCCCACAATGTTCATTCTGTATTTTAACTGAAAGAAAAAGTTATCCCATATTAATCGTTTTATTCACAATAGAAGGTGCTAAATTGAAACACTGATTTTGTGTACTAAAAATAAGAGCATGTCAAATTTAACAGTTAAACTCTTTGACTGCAACTAACCAGTTTTTATTATGATTTTTGGCTACTTTTTGTTTACTGCTTTAGAAAGTACTGTACTTTATTGGTGACATTTCCTCTTAAAGCCTGGCAACA